ACTGGCAGGGCCACGAAGAGTAGGTGCGCACACCAGAGGGTGAGCGAGGCTGTGGTGCTGGAGACCAGGCAGGGTGAGGGGCGGCAGCAGTCATGACGGGCGTGCGGGATGACAGGTGTGCGAGGCTGGCCACACTCGGGTGTGAGAGCACTCGGCGGGGCCAGAGCCTCGGGTGAGGTTAAGAGGGTTCCTGCGTGGCCGGCGGCCCCACGTGGAGTATGCACACACAGGCAGGGCGTCCACACAGGTCATGGCAACATCAGACTGGCTGGGGTGTTAGAGCCCACATTGGGGGGGATGCAGATCCACATCGAGGAGGGGGCAATAGCAGTGAGGGGAGATTGGTCCCATAGAGGGTCCCGGTTAAAGATGATGGTAGCAGGGTTCTCACCATTACAGAAAGGCGGAGGGGACAATGTGTGTTGGTTTGGAATTTGTGTATAGGGTGAACTCTTGGTTTTCAGTTAATATATATATATGCGTGCATATGGAGATAAACGTGGACCTGAACGTGTGGAATGTGCGTGTGCATGTCTACGGCGCACGTGTTCTTCACTGTCTGCTGAGAGGGCCTGCTGGCGGCAGCACACCCAGCACCCAGACTTCCTGCCTAAGTGCCGTTCTTCAGCCATGAGGGTCTCATCACGGGGAAACAGATACATTCTGCAAAATAACGGGCCTACACTCTTCAGAAGTCGAGGGAAGACGGAGGAGCTTGCTCTGGAGTGAATGAGAAATGGGCAGCCGCTACATGTGGTTCTGACATGGTGTGGCGTGATTTGCTGTTAGGAGCACTGAGATCATCAGGGAAGCTTGAGCGAGGTCTGAGGGACAGAAGCGACTAGTCACGTATCAGTTGTAATCTGCAGATTTGGGGGAATCTAGAGGATGTCTCTGTTTATGGGAAATATACGCTAAATTATTTGAAGTAATAGAACAGCATGTCTGCAGCTTATTCTCAGGTGGGTCAAGAAAAAATACTTTATTATATTTTTCTGTAAGTTTGAGATTGCTTCAAAATAAAAGATAAAGTCTTCTCCAAAAATTTTTTAAAATTAAACCAAATTGTTTAACCGTGTTGCCTGCTGCTGAGCAGTCCACCAAGACGTAAACTATACGGAAGCCGTCGGATATACCTTAGAGCAGTTGTGGGTGGGTGATGGAGGCAGAGACCAGAGCGACACGGGTCGGCACTGAGGCAGGCAACGTGCAGACGGCCAGTGCCGTCAACTCTTCAGAGGTTTCTCTGGGAAGGGGGACCAAGGACCCTCCGAAGCAGGGGACTGTGGTGAGGGGTGTGGAGAAAATGACGTATGCAGGAATACTTGGACAGTTAAGAAGCTATAGCCCAAGGAGGGGAAGTTTTGGAGAAGTTCTGCCTTCAGATATTTGAAGATCTTGCAAAGTCAAAGAGATGCTTTGTTTTAATTTTCGGAGGAAAGGAGTAGAGCCAGTGTTTACAGAGCAGGGGCTTCTGACTGACGTGTTGAGCCGTCCAGCAGCTGAGTGGTTGGTGGCCTTGCATGAAGTGAACTCCTGACCCAAACAGTGGCAAGCAGAAGCTGTTCCTGGAAGTGATTCCTCTGGTGACTTAGGGCTGAGGCCAGGGGGACCTCCAGCTCCCACTGCGCACTCAGGCCCGTTGTCATGTGAGTTTGTTCAAATAGGAGGTCCTCAGCCCTTTCTGAAATCTTGAGTCTAAGTGGAAATGACCAGTGCTTGGGGTCCCGCGTGTGGGAATTAAAAGGACCGTGAGGTCGGGTGCCTCTCAGCGGGTTTCTTTGTTGCTTGCTGCGCTTAACACAGGGGTAGACAGTCTCACCCTTGCAGTGACCAGGGAATCCCTTGGTTCCTTAAATATTATTTTGAATTGGGGAAGGTCCGATTGCCTACCTGCAATCAGGCCAGTGGCCACGAAGGTGTTACGGCATAGAGACCAGAGCACAGCACCCTGGTTCTTTGTGCTTCAAAGGGCCCTTTGTGTGTTGGTGATGACAGCAGCTTGGGGCGTATAGGATTGGTCACGGGGATTATCCTTTGTATTATTTTCCTGCTTTTTTTTTGGAGCCTGGTTTCTTTTTAGAGACGGTATATTCGGAAGTGAGAAGGGTAAGAACAGTAGCAAGGTCGTGCACCCATGAGTTTATGTTCATGGGATGTAGAAAACTGACATTTGTCTTCTTATGTGTTTAGAAGAATATGTTGTCAGAGGAGTGAAAAACAGGTGAGTTACTAGCAGGCAAGTGGGAAAACAGCAGTAGTGTGGATTCTTGTGACCTGCAAATAAATTATAACTGTGGAGGGACAAGGAGCTTATGATAATAATGTTCTTTCTGGGGCCTCCTGAAAAAACACTCTACCTTTTAAGTGTCTGCGAAAGCATGGCCCTTCACAAAATTACTCTCTGAAACACTCCATTTTATATATCACAATATCGCATGAAATAGGAATTAAAATAGTATCATGGCTCCTGTTTATCTAACGAGAAGGCATCTATTTTTCTCCTGCTGGTAATTTATATATTAAAATGTTATTAGGAGCGCCTGGGTGGCTCAGATGGTTAAGCGTCTGCCTTTGGCTCAGGTCATGATCCCAGGGTCCTGGGATCGAGCCCCGCATCGGGCTCCCTGCTCAGCGGGAGGCCTGCTTCTCCCTCTCTCACTCCCCCTGCTTGTGTTCCCTCTCTTGCTGTCTCTCTCTTTCTGTCAAATAAATAAATAAAATCTTAAAAAAAAAAAAGAAAAGCAGGAAGATTTGTTCACAGAAGGTCCACACATCTGCAGACAGAGGCAGGAAGAGAGGCCAGTGTAGTCTTAGGGGTGGGACTGAAGGCACGCTTCCCTATTGGAAAACCACTTGGCATAAATAAAAACTGGCTTTCAAAGATGGATTTGGCCACGATTTGGGCATTTTGCTCAGAACCCCTGCTGCACATAGCAGACGTGGACCCCTGAGTTTGAGTACTCAGGGCCGTCGGCTGCCAGGCATCTGCTCACCCTTGGTGCGGCATCTTGTACTCCTTTCTCTCCTGTAAAGTTCTGTGGGAGCTTTGCTTTTTGGATTGGTTACATTAAAAAAAAAAATTATTTTCCATCACTGTATGTGAACAAGGACATGGCATGGCACTCAGGTAGGAATTTGGGCACCAAATTGAGTTTCTCTGTCTCTGTGTTATTTGACAAAATCTGTTCAGTTGGGGAGTTGCGGTTGCATTTTAAAAGGCAAGTGCTTACAGCATTACTGATGATTAAAACAGAACCAACAAAAAGAGCCGTATCTGTGGCAGGAGGTTGTTTCTGTCTGCACGTGGCTGAAACACCATTTGGAGAGACAGAGAGAGACCTGGAGACACAGAGTGACGGGGTGGGGCGAGTCTGACATTCAGGAGGAAGGAGGCGGACATCAATGTTAAATTTTCTGTGTTCTTTGTGTCTTTATCCTCAAGTTGCAGCCACCTCCTCATCCAGTTCCTGAGAAGAATGTGATACTTAGTGAATTTTTTCCACATGCCTCCACTAAGACATTCCTAAAGCTTCGTTCCCCCCCCGACAGTCAGTGACAAAAGGCACAGAATTGCATCTTTGAGTGTTTGAGAGGCATGGCCACTTAACTACCTGATAAAGGCATGGCCAGGATCTGTGTTTTCACATTCTGAAAGTAAAAGTATGGTAGTCTGTGTCTTCTGATGAAATCAACCCTACAGACGTCTTTATGTGTTCTGTTCAAGTATTTTTTTAAAATAAGTTCTATCAGGAAAATTACAGGGGACTTTTTGGTTTTGAAGAACTGAATGGTGTTTTAATAATGTTACGAGGTATGCTACACATTTTACTTCATTACAGTTAACTTCTTGTCCACCCTGTGCCAGGGAGGAGTAGAAAGAGAAGTTTTTTCAGACTGTTCAGAGAATAGTTATGAAAGGAATAACAGAATTTAAACCTTTCAACATGTGTATACGGCAGGGTCTGTGTCATAAACACATTTTTCTAAATTCATTACAGTGTGTTAGATGTAATCCTTTGAGCTGGCAGATCTTTCAACTGTGTATGAGAAACAAAATAGAGTAGTTGCAATTTAGTGTAATCTATTTAAAATACATGTTCTTCCCTCTCTTTGAACAATCTGTCCAAAATGCAGTCCATTCATGTGGGATTTTGCCTGTACAGCTCTGAGTGGGAATCAGTAGTTTCTTTGTTCGTCACTATGGAAACAAGTCAGCCTATCCCGAATGGCTGTCAGATCTCGCAGAGTGATGCTGGCGGCTCAGCATAACTTCACCACGGAGCAGGCTGGCGCTGCCATCCCCTCTCGCCTGCAGCTCTTTCCTGCTGGGAGCCCAGCCATGCAGGACCTGCCCCGGCGGTGCTCAGCCCTGCCCTTCCTCAGCTCCTTCTTCCAGGGCCGCCGGCACTCATCCTCGGACCCTATCCTGCAGCACGGCCGGCGCGGCTCGGCCGCCCAGACACTCTCCTCGTCCTCTCTCCAGGTGATGGTGGCAGTGGCCTCCGTCAGCTGTGCCGAAAGAAACCCAACTAGCCTCCAGAGAAAAAGTAAAGCTCTTTTCCTTCTTGAAGATTGCCATAGCTTTGAGTTTAAATTCAGACCGTTGACAATTAATTCTACATTGTACTTTCACTGTCTGTTATGCTGAGAGCTTCAGTGGACATGTAATAGGGGATAAAGTGATTGAATGTTTTGTGCTTTTGCATTAAAAATGTAATTTTTGGAAAAATTCATTTTCTTGTAAAAAATCTGCTTTTATGGTTTCTTCCTTTTCATTACCAATATGACATGTGGAGATTATTGTGTGTGAAAGCCTTTTCTATATTAAGAGATCATGCACTCAGATGAAAAGGAAACCGTTTTATTTCTGACAAAATGAAGGGAATGTAGCCCCGGCTCGTCATCTACAATCCTGAGATAACATAGAAGCTGTTTCTCATGTTACTGTTGCATTTGGAGAGTAGAATTTTGAATCCTCTCTTCCTTGTATGTTCTAGGAAATTCAGGACGTCCAACACCAAAGTACACAAAAGTCGGAGAGCGTTTACGGCATGTGATTCCTGGACACATGGCCTGCTCCATGGCGTGTGGTGGCAGAGCTTGCAAGTATGAAAACCCGGCCCGCTGGAGCGAGCAGGAGCAAGCCATTAAGGGGGTGTACTCATCGTGGTAAGTGAGTCTGCAGCAGCCAGTGGCTGTGGAGGAGGGAGCATATGGGGGTGTGAAGGCGGAGGACCCCACCCCCACCCTGGCCTTGTGACTTGATGAGCTGTGTGATCTTGGCCGCCTCACGTGGGTATTCTGAACCTCTTCTGTAAAATGGAAATAATAAAACCAACCCACAGGGGTTTTTTAATTAAGTGAAATGATGTACGTAGATCTTAAAGAAATGGTAACGAGATAGCTCTTAAGTATTGGAAGTTGCCAGAAATAATGTGTTCAGCTATAAATTTGAGAAGGCAGGAGGTACATACGTGGTCTGTCAGTTTCACACAGGTACATGTTAGCCTCATTTCTTTTTGTTCCCGTCTTCTGGATGAAAGGGTACACTTCCCCGCAAATACACTGCCTGTGTGCCTCAGTAGAGAGTGGTGCACATTGTTGGCTCAGCAGGCAGGGTGAGACGGGTGCATGGTTTATGGTACACAGATGTGATTCATTCTGCAGTGAATCCTTCTGCTTCTTGTTATTAACGGTAAACTGTCAAGTGTACCTCTTTTGGGTTTTTTTTTTTTAAGATTTTTTATTTATTTATTTGAGAGAGAGAGAATGAGAGATTGCACGAGAGGGAAGAGGGTCAGAGGGAGAAGCAGACTCCCCGCTGAGCAGGGAGCCCGATACGGGACTCGATCCCAGGACTCCAGGATCATGACCTGAGCCAAAGGCAGTCGCTTAACCAACTGAGCCACCTAGGCGCCCAAGTGTACCTCTTTTGATGTAGTGATGTCTCTGATGAATTCTGACAATCAAGCCAAATCACCTTTGTTTGTTTTGTTCATTTGTTTTTTAAAGATTTTTTATTTATTTATTAGAGCATGAGCGGCGGGTTGGGGGGGAGCAGAGAGAGGAGAAGCAGACTCCCCGCTGAGCAGGGAGCCTGACGTGGGGCTCGATCCTAGCACCCAGAGATCATGACCTGAGCTGAAGGCAGCCGCTTAACCTACTGAGCCACCCAGGTGCCTTGCCAAATCACCTCTGAAGCCCACTAAGAGGAATTCACGGTTTAAAGAACTCTAGTGGTGAATCATTTCCTGCAGCAAGAATCCATTTCCAAATTAGACTTTTGTCAACCGGCCCACCTAACTTGCAGCCTGGGCTTCTTTAAATTTGCTGGTATGTGTGTAGTGATAGAGTTGGGGTCCATTGTCAGTGCCGTTCCCCACAGATCATAATTCTAGTCTGAAGAGTGTTGTGTGAAAGCAAGCACTAGGCCTGAGGTGTGCTCGGACCATAAATTTCCAATAATGCAGCTTGAGATCACATTAATATTTTTGGTTTATTTTTGACCAAACATCTGAGTCTTTTTCACCTGTCATGCTTTCATGGTACTTCTCTCCTCGTCTTATACTAAGTACTACTGAATTTGGCGGGGGAGGCCCCAATCAGTTTTCATTGCCCCAGCAGGGAGGCATGGTATCTTTCTGGATTGTGCTCTGCTCAGCTGATGTCTCTGTTACTCGTCAGGCTCATGTGACCCATAGCTCCCGATAGACGGCCTGACATATCTTTCACCAGAGCCCTGAGGAGGGGCAGCTGTCTGTTCCGGGGCCTCTGTACATTTGTTCTCAGGCCAGCATTGTGCTACACACTGTCAAATTATTATGTCATCTTCATAAAGCTCCTGAAAGTAGGCGTGGTTAATGTCATTCTATCGATGAAGGAATTGAGGTCCAGAGAGACTAAGTAATCTACTACCCAGCTAGAAGTAGAAAAGCCAGCATTTGAAACCGGCCCAACTGACTCCAAAGGCCATATGTTTTGCTGAATTACAATAACTCAGCATTTATTCCTAACCACATGCCAGGATTTGTGCTGAAGACTTTACACCCACGTTGTGTTGAATTCTCATGCCAGCCCTGCGAGGCAGGCGTTATCCCTATTTACCATAATAGGTAACTGAGGGGCAGAATTAGCTTTGCTGCTCAACAAGGTTCCTCCACAACGTCCCCTGGAAACCACACTGCCGGAGTCCACCAATACTTTACATCCTGGAATTTTTTCCAGGGATTCAGGGTTTCTTAGAGCCCTCATCATGATGCAAAATTGAAGCCAGAATTTGTATAAGAAAATTGTTCTAGATTTGTTAAAATCATAGGAAAGTAGGGGCTTGCTATCTCGTTCTCTTAGTTCTTAGAGCTGGAACGTTCCGAGTCGCGTGTATTCTCACCAGCCGCCCCTCCCACCCTAGGGTCACTGAGAACATCCTAGCCATGGCTCGCCCGTCCACTGAGCTCCTCGAGAAGTACCGCCTCATCGAGCAGTTCCAGAGGTAAATGCCACGTTGTTGACACACTTGCTAAGCCAATTCGCGTGTTCTCATCCGTTGCTTTTGACGTCAAATAGTCAAACAATAGGCAGTGGACAGCTTATTTTGACTAGGAAATTGAGGTTTTTGAGAGTGATTAATAATGTTTATTAATGCCAAAAATGCTTGATTTTTTTAAACACTTGCTCTCAATATAACTTTTTTCTTTTCTCCTATCAGCCATGGCATAAAAACAGTCATCAACCTGCAGCGCCCTGGTGAACATGCCAGCTGTGGGAACCCTCTGGAACAAGAAAGTGGCTTCACGTACCTTCCGGAAGCTTTCATGGAGGCTGGCAGTAAGTCCTTCCACCTCCCCTCCATGAGTTACCAAGAACAGCACCCAGACTCTCGGGTGCCCAGCTCTCCCATTGTCACCGGGTGATAGAATGACCGCTTTCTGCAGGGGGTGGGCTCCCCACAGGGAAGATGAGCTGACTGATTCTAGATAATGTGGCCATTCTTCTCGGGTGGTGCTGCTGAAAGTACAGGATTCCTTTTGTCCTGTGAGAGGGATCTTGGGAGGAGCCCTATAGAAACAACGCCCGCGTTAGTTACCATGGACACTGGCCCTGCTGCTCTGCGCATCCCGTAGTCCTTGTTTCTGCCTCCCTCGCAGGCCCTGCAGGCTGCGTGAGCCCCCATTCGCCCGGGGCACACAGTGTACACGTCGCAGCAGGACTGGAACCCGGGACTCACTCATGCCCTTACTGCTGCCCAACTCTGCCTCTGGGTGGGACGCAGGGAGTCTTTATGTGACAGCCCCAGAAGCCCCAGTCTTGGGAGCCTAGGGATGGAGTCCACTGAACACATGCCACTCAGGACCAGACTGGAAAGGACCAACCCTGGCCACTTTGGGGACTTGTTATTAAGAAGTGTGTGTCTAGCTTTTTTTGTCTCCACTGGGTGGAAAATCTGTATGTACCCACCTTGTGCCATTTGAGTCCTTTAGACACACTGCCATACTTAAACAAGATGCTGTGCTTTCCCTCTGTAGCTGAGTAATTTGGGCCAACGTTGGGGACTTTATTAATTTGCAATCCTGTTTCACCTTAATTCTTTCTGGTTGTAAAAAGCCTATTATTTTAGGCCTCCACATCCAGTTCAATCCGTGTGCCTTACAGCTTTACACTTTTCATGAATTCACTTACTTTCTTCAGATGACTATGCAAGTACTTTTCCTCGATGTCAATTGTTTTTTCCTGTTTTCTTTTTTTCATTGTCCAGTTTATTTCTACAATTTTGGATGGAAGGATTATGGTGTAGCATCGCTCACCACCATCTTAGATATGGTGAAGGTGATGACATTTGCCTTACAAGAAGGAAAAGTAGCTGTCCATTGTCATGCAGGGCTTGGTCGGACAGGTAAATACTAGGAAGTGGATTTATTGTCTTGTAGTATATTTAAACATGTAAAGAATAGTATTTTGTAATTCTAGAGGATAAATATTTTTCAGAATCCTATCAAAGTTTTGGAGTCAAATGGTAGAAGCCACTGAAAGAAATTAGAAATAACTTAAATAGTTTCAGTGATCATTTATTTGTGAGAGTATTTTTGAGAGACTTAAGCCTGAAAACTCATCATATTTAGTAAATAGATGGGTTTCCACAGCTCACTAAATGATTATTCTGGTTTTTCTTTTTCAAAGGAAACGAACCCCAACACTTTATTTGTAATACATAATGTCTTTATTTTTTTTAAGATTTTATTTATTTATTTGACAGAGACAGAGAGAGGGAACACAAGCAGGGGGAGTGGGAGAGGGAGAAGCCGGCTCCCCGCCGAGCAGGGAGCCCGATGTGGGGCTCGATCCCAGGACCCTGGGACCATGATCTGAGCTGAAGGCAGACGCTTAACGACTGAGCCACCCAGGCGCCCCCGTAATGTCTTTTTAAAATATAATTTTCCTTGGGCGCCTGGGTGACTCATTTGGTTAAGCGACTGCCTTCGGCTCAGGTCATGATCCTGGAGTCCCGGGATCGAGTCCCGCATCGGGCTCCCTGCTCGGCAGGGAGTCTGCTTCTCCCTCTGACCCTCCTCCCTCTCGTGCTCTCTGTCTCTCATTCTCTCTCTCTCAAATAAATAAATAAAATCTTTAAAATATATATATATATATATAATTT